AAATTTAATTATTTAATAATTTAGTTTCTTTACTTTTTATTTTGTTTGGCACTTTTTACACCTAAACCGATTTTTTAATTTTATTTACAATAGTTACTTGTAATGTCGAAGGAATAGAAAACCATTCATTCTGACAAATGAGTTACCAAAAATTACATTAGCATTATACCCTAAATAAGTCCATATTTTCAAAAGCCAATTAGAAAAATGTGAAAAATTGATGTCAATTTTCATGTAAAACCATCAAAATCTTGAGAAAAAATTCGTTTGGGAATAGAATGTCAAACAAAATTAAAAAGTAAAGAAATTAATTTATTTATAAATTGGTGGTATAACACACAGGATATTCTACTTAAAAAATTGAGAATATAAACTCGAGTTTAGATACACCCTGTATGCATCAAAGCAAATGAATGAAAATGCAAAACATTTTTAGGAATGTTTAGTCTAATAAAATTAAAAAAAAAGATGTGAAAACCAAATCTTTGAGGCGTAACTACATACAGGGTGTTTGGTTGAAAAAACTATGTTTGGTTCTCCCCTCATTTATAGACTACCACGTATATTTAAGAATAATTGTAAAATATAGACGTACAACTTTTATATTAAACATTTCTTCGTATATCCAATAATAAAACAGCTATCAATCAATTACCCACTGATGGGTCCCCCTGTATATGTATAATTAAAACAGTTCTTTCATCACAGCTTGGTCCTTATGTCTTCATTTTAAATAATTTTAAAATAAGTAATTCTCTAATTTTACAAAAAATTAATTTCTTCGCAACCATGTAATTTTTTTTAAATATTCTAGGGTTAAATACAGTATCATCATGCCACTCTAAAACTGAAATAAAATACAGGGTGTTCCATTTAAATTAACATATTTTTACTTTCTAGGCAAAAGCGTTATATATCCACCTATTTTTATAAATTATATTTTTCAAATCCACATAATTTTTATTCAAAACATGTTTGCGTATAACACAAATTGAAATATCAATTACGCACTAATAGAACTATGACGAAGATTTTACCACTTTTTCTTCTTCATGCTTTTAGGCATCCTTTTGAACTACTCTTGATTGTTTCTGACTACCCGCCTTGAATGGTCCAGCCTCCCTAGGATTTTAGTATGGAGACAATGCAGCTTCATTGGCTAATTTTACCATCATTTGGGTAAGCTACTTCTTCCAATTCATTCATTCCACTTCCTGGATAGGTTCCTGAGAACTTATAAGTCTCAGGTCATCCATACAAGAAGTGCTTAACTACAGTGATCGATAAATGAATTTATAAGTACACCGTCAGCCAGCGGCTCAGTAATATACGTCTTTAACATCAGTACTTGATATCCTATAGAGGTCTATATTCTTTTCTCTTTTTGTGTTAACTTCTGTCCATATTTATAACCACCATAACTACATAATAGCTATTCCACAGCATAAATATTTTATATTTCGACTGTGTATGGCCCATGGCATTAATGAATGTCCATACTTTCGTGTACAGATGGGCCAGAGTGTGTAGTTGGCATTAAAGCTTGGGCAGCGAAAGTGTTAATATAAATTCAATGAGAGATTGTTCGAGTTCCTTAAGACAACCTAACATTTTTAGATCTTCATTTAATAGGTCTTTTCCTTTGCATCAAAAGTGTAGCACTGAGCTACGTCACTTCTGAAAATATTGTTCCATCCATACAATTTGTATATATGGAACGATATTTTCAGAATTGGTGTAGCCCAGTGCTACACTTTCGATGCAAAGGAAAAGACCTATTGTATGAGTGATATGGGGATAAAACAATTGGTGTTGACTAAGAGCAGCTTTAAATATTTTATCTCCTGCATACGTTTATAAATTAAATCTGTCATTGAGTAATCAAATACAATCTTGGCATGTCATCTACCAAAAGTAATTGTGTAACACTTCACATTTAGTTCTTCACAGACCAAGCGTGCAGTGCATTAACATTACTTTGTAAAAGGTTACAGTCATTGACACTATTAACCTTTTCAGGATGGATAATGACTGAAGTTGAATAAATTTTTCTTACCAGTCAACCGGGAAACGACTCGAGTTGAAAGCTTGGAGGTATAGTTTAGGACGGAACACGATGCAGTTTGATAGTAATGTGGTATTAATATGACCAACACCACCCATAATATTTAGCGTTCATTTAATGATTTATCATCTGTCTCTCTTTATTTTCAGTCGGCTGTTCACGTTCACGGTAAATGCTACCCTGTGGTAAATGCCTTCTCTGTGGTAAATGCCTTCTGTGTAGTAAATGCATTCTCTGGCATCTCTGGTCAGGGGCAGTATTACCATATTATTTCAGTGGGTGAATACCGTTTGTTTCTAAAATGTCTCGGCAAATGCATAGAGGGTTTTGTTTTTCTGTACCAATCTGTATTTTTTATCAACCTTGATTTTTTGATGTTATTTTATGTTGTATGAGTTTTTTATTTTGTTACTAAGAATTTTTTATTTTGTAAGATGTTTTTTTGATTTTGATATAATGAAATTTTATTTGATATTGAATATTTTTTGTTTCATATCTTTTTTTATTTTATGATGTTACTCAAATTAAAGTTCTGCGTTTTTGTAATATTCAGTATATTATTTTCAAGAAATAGCGAAAAAAACCTTTCCATTCCAAATTTTATTATGGCTGCCGTTCCCAAAAGGTTAATGGGCATAAATAACAGCAATTCATCAAATAGGAAGTTATCATGAGCCATATATCTTAATGCAATTGTAAAACTTAAACTTGTTTTTCTCAAAATAATCTTTTTATGACAGGACACCTTTATCTGCTTGTGTCTTCATATATATCTTTAAGTAGAAAATTACTAGATTGGGAAATATCTTCAATATCATTGCTAATAGTCAGAACAATAATGGTCCCAAATGGGTATGTCATTATTGGATATACAGACTACCATCTATTTTCACCATTTGAACTTTGTTTTTTAAATAATTTTCAAGTCAAGTCAGTAAAGAATCAGAAATGCCAAGCTTTTTAATTTAAATAGCAATAAAGTGGGATTAACACTGTCAAAAGCTTTACTAAAACCAGAATATATTGTGCCAACTTGTATATTTTCATAAAATTTAGAAAACATATTTTTTTGATAGACCATCAGTTTGGTAAATATTATAACTTTATTTGAAGCAGAGTAAAGATGACATTATTGTAAAAGTACTAAAATCAGATACGAGATCAGATATTAAAAAAGTTCTGTTAATTTTTCAGAATTAACCTTTCTACATTAACTAGTAACATTCAGATTCAGCAAATAGGATAGACAGTAGTTAGAACTTTTTAAAATCAGTATTTATACGAAAAAAATATTTTAAAACTATAGAATATTTTTTTTTTCATTTCCAAACATTTTCCTTATCCGCAAAATTATACTTTGTTACTCTAGTGAATACAAGGCCGACACACGTTTACCTAGTTCATGTATAATACATCAAATTAAAATTATAACAAATCAAGATATGGTCAATTAGTAATGTTATAAATCAAGAAGAAAATATATTGAGTACTCTCACTATATTAATATCATAAATACTAACACTCCAATGGTGTACAATTATATTTATTTACCTGGTATAGCTTCTGATAAGTTGACAGATGTCCTTGGTATTTCGCTATCTTCTAAAGGAATAGTATCTGAAACATAATTTGAAGTATTTGTTTTTTAGATTGTGAACATCAAAAATGTTTTGATTGAGCTAAACTGTAAGTGAACACAGCTATGATTATAAATTAGTGCTTATATAATGAGCAAAACTAGCATTTTTATAGCTTTCAATTAAATGTCGCAGTATCAATATTTTACATTAACCGAGAAGCATTATTATTAATGTAATATCAAGAGGTAAGCATAATTCATATTACTTAAAAAGTTAATTTTTTAATACCAACCTTCAGTCTGAGTTGGTAAAATAACTTCAGCTACCGATTCCTCTACAAATTTAATCTCGTTTGCAGTTTGATCTTTAGATTCTATCTCCATAGTTTCTTCAGGCTCTTTATTTGAATCTTCTACTTGCTCAGAATTTCTAGAATAACTAGTCGACGTCGATTCCTCAGATTTGTTTAATTGTTCAGAATTGTCCATTATGAAACTAAAAATTATTTTTAGCAAAAATTTGGAAAAAAAATTTTAAATGTATACATATCTACAATTAATGCAACTCAACACGTTCTTATTTACTCACGTTAATGCCAAAATTCATAGATAATACACATTATCAACCATATACCTATCAAGCATTTTTATCAGGTGTTAATGTGGTTTGACTAATGTAATGTATTAATTATGACTCCTACTCCTATTAAATTTTAAAAAAAATTCTACTTTCAAGAGAATAACTAAAGTTCTTAGAGATAGATGTTGAAGCACAAAATCTACAATACAAACAATTTTTATTAACTGAAAATTCAAGAAATCTCAAATACTTGCTGTGCAGAAAAAAATTGAAGGTAAAAATATTAGAAAATCGTTAAGAGTCTTACCATCGATTTTAAAAATCGATATAATTATATTTTTTAACTATTACTTACTTATTGCTGGTAATATTATAAATTCTTTATAATATTATAATTCAAAATAATCTTTTGTATTTTTGATGGCGTTTGATTTTACTGATTTTGATGTTTGGGGTTTGTTTTGAAGAAAACTGCGTTTGTTTAGATTACACCGATCTATCAGCTGTGTTTCGCCATCTCTTTTTTATTGTAATAGATTAATTATTAATTTGTTTGATTTTGTATAAATTTTAATTTAATTGATATAAAAAATATAATTCCATTACGGAGAAGTTACGGATTTTTTTTTTTTAATAAAATGAATCGAAACTTGATCTGAGAACTTGCTGCTTGACAAGCTCGAAGCAAAAATAGAACAAAATTGTTGGCTACCCTGGTCTAGTGACATTCGTTTGTGTTTTTTGTCATATGTCATTTTTAGTAATGTCAGTTGTCAGTAAACGTCAATAATGAAAAGGTTATGATGTCTAATATATTTTTTTGAAAAATGGAAGATTTACAACTTTCCGATACGTTACAAAGATATTTTTCTGATGTTTTCTTGTGTTGTGATGAAGATAGTTCTGGCAAAGCCTCATTAGCCAAAACTATCGAACTTATTCAATCAGGGAGTGTACCAGAAGATGTCATTTCTCAAGTAAGAATTTCACTAAATTAAATTTGTTTACATGGCGTAACAATATATTCTTAGTTGTTTATACCCTTCTGTTTTGCTAAAAATAGCTTCTAATTTATATTTAATTAATCTACAAACCAACCTCGTGTAGTCGGACTTGTTTATAATTTTAACGTTGGTAAGGAACATCATACATGTTTTTCTTTGCAGATTTCTGATATTTGTTGGTCGCTCGGCACAAATTATTTGAACAAAAAACAATTCTTTTCTGCTTTGAAGTTAGTAGCTGCTTATCAAGCCAACATTCCTGTTCGAAGTGAAGTTTTAACATCAAAAGTTGAACTTCCACTACCTCGATTTACTTGGACAGTTATAGACAACAAGAGTCCCATAGGAGATCTGATAGAACTTAGCAATGATACGAATGATTATACAGAACATGTGAGTAGAATTAAATTTGTTTAAACTATGAATTCATTATTTTAATGTGTTATTCTAATGAAATTCCTCATGGAATTCATAAAATAATTGTTAATTGAAATTTTCTAATTATCACTGGAAAACTAACTTTTATATGCCGAATCATAGTCTGAATAGATATGTGACACTGCAAAACCCACTTTACATAAAAATTTTGTTTTAAAAGTCTCTACCTATACATTTATTTATATTTTTTTGCAGGTGGATACTACAAGTACTGATTCTGAAGTAGAAAGTGAAACTGTAAGAAATGGATCTCCAGATATATCTAGTGCCACATCAGATAGTCCTACACCAACTAACAGTGTCCAAGACAGGAGTTGGGTAATATCAGGAGTTTGGCAAGGTCTTGTGTCTGAGGAGCAGAGGCAGTTATTAGGTAAAAATAATCTATTTATCAAATATCAAGGTAAAGTAATTTTTTTTTTCAAAATTGCTTTCATGTTATTTTGAAAACTGCTGAAATAAATACATAGTTTTTATTTTGTTTTTCCCCTTGATTGTCCAGGAGTTTTTTCCCGAAATTCTTTCCCAGTTTTCAATACTTTCTGTAACTATATCCTACAAAAATATTTTTGTTTAGTAGTAAACTTAGTTTAGCTAACAGGAGTTTAAATTTTAATATTCAGGGCGGTTTGTACAATAGGCAGTTAAAATGTAAACTTAGTTTAAAATTTGTTTAACACAATTTATCTTGACAACATTTATATTGAAACTTCAACTGCTAAACAATGTCGCGCTATTTTTATAAAGCCAGCTCTGCTCAAGTTGATTCTCGGCAGTCTAGAATCTCTGGAAATTCTTCCTCTATGAGTTAGCTGGCACGCATAGATTTCTCTGGTAACTTATAGAATGAGTGCATTTGTCTCTGTCCTGCGGTATCGAATCATAGACGAAGCGGCGGCTTGTATAGCAGGTGTAGAAGTTGGAAAGGCTTTTGCCAGTTCTCCCACTTTATACACATAAATTGACAGGTTTGCCGCGGATCTAACCGAAGTGGACACGATACATCTGCTTACAAAATTATTTTATAGATGTTAATAACAATTTCGAGTAAATAGTTTAATAAATTGTGAATAGCTGTTGAAATTTTGTCAAATTATGATTTGAATATTATAATACATGTTTAATAACTATTTATAGTCCATAAATACATGCGATTGTCCGGTTCCGCCAGTAACAATTTAAAATTAATTATTCTATGAAACGACACTGGCAGGTAAACATTACTGCGAAATTCTCGAAGCCGTCCGATGTGGTTTGACGTTTACCCCCTTTCTACCTACCAAAAGCCTTTCCAACTTCTACTTGTGCTATTCGCGATTCAAGCTAAGTGATACGCCCTCTGGAGGAAATTTGTAGGAGGTCCGTATAAGTAGGATATCGTTCAGTGTTGCCAGAAGTAGCAAAACTTAGCTACGTCGTACGATTTTAGCTCTTGAAGAAGAGGATAAGACCTTTTATTTAAGAATCAAAATGTGTGTATGGTAATATGTTATCATACTCTATATTTATTTAAGGATTTTTTTATAAAACCGATTTATTTTATTGATTTTTTTTAAATTTCAGTTCTTTTATTAATTTTGTTTTAAAATCAATTCATCATTTGGCAACATTGGCGTTCATGTTCATTGTTTACATTTTAATTTGTATCAATTACAATTCGAGTTTTTTCTTACTTTTTAGCTTTAAATTTGTTTATTTCTTATAGCATGTGATAGTGTTTATATTAAAAATGAAATCTGCGAAAAAGTCCCCAGAAAATTGCAATCTATATGGTGTAAATGTCAAAATCAAAACTGAAGTATTCATTATTTTCCAAGTACAAGTCATAAAATTTTTGATTTTTACGATAAACGGATATCTACAAATTCACAATATTGAAATTTTACAAAACTTTGTTTAGAATCAAACTGTAATTTTATTTTTTGACGGTTTTATTACCATTTACATGTATACAAAGTACTAGATGATTCACTTCATAATATAAGAATAAGTCTAGTAAGATTTTTAAATAAGTTCATCAATAATAAACGTGTGGTACCTGAAATGTCCTTTAACCACATAATAAACATGTCCTGGGTTTAGTGAATACATATTTCTAGATGTTCTTGTAGCATCCAATAGGTGAATATTTCCAACAAATTAAGTCATACACATGATAAATATTATATTTATGACGAAAGCACGAGACTTAAACTTAAATTAACACTAAATGAAACTCAAAAACACTATTACAATGAGAATATTATCTAAAAACAGTTAAAAAAATCACAAATACAAAATCTGCCCAAAACAAAAACATGTAAATAAACAAACATCCTACTTATAGATGACAAATGACAGGTGCGCGAAAATGAATTTGAATCGCCAATAACGATGAGAAGACCAGGGTTGGTTTTAGGTGGTTGCATAAAAATGACATTTATATTTAAAATATAACCAGTTAAAAATCAAACTTATGTTAGCTAAGCTGAGTTTACAGTATTCTTTGTACAACCTGCCCTCAAAGTACAAATGCCATTTTTAAAACTGTGTTTACTCGGTTTAACAATAACGAAAGATTTTACAATGAGGTTCACAGTTTAATTCACCAGTCTAAAGCATAATTCTAGTTTTACAGTCATGTTATTTACTTGTCAACCATGGCTTCCCTGGCGCCAAAAAAATTGCGTCTGTTCGATATTAGGTTGCAATCCTCTGTGTCACTTGAAGTAAAAGTTACGAGACCCTCTCTTTCCTATTATAAGAAGAACTCCAAGTTTATCAGAATTCTATAAAAATTATGTTTGTTTATCTGTAAATATATACTGAAATTTTAATAATTTATTCAGGGACTGAAGAAGAATCATCTGAGAAACACAGCAGTGAAGAAGATACAGAAGTATCAAATGAAGTATGGACAATAACCAATGAACAGCGTGAATATTACACAAATCAATTTAGGTCCCTCCAGCCAGATACTAATGCCTTATTAGCCGGTCCTATCGCCAGAACGTTTTTCGAAAAATCTCGCTTACCAATACATTGTCTGCGAAAAATTTGGCAGTTGGCTGACGTTACTAAAGATGGTGCTCTTTCTCTTCAAGAATTTAATATTGCAATGCATTTGGTCGTATTAAAGAGGAACAATATAGAATTGCCCGATACTCTGCCCCCTACTCTTGTACCTGGAAATGAAACTCCTTTATCCGTTAGTCCTGAGACAGAACCCATTTTGTCTCCACAGACTAAAGACACTGCTAAAGAATGGACCAAATTTGTTGATAGTCCTACTAGTTCCGTTTCATCGCCCGGACCTAAACCAGTCAATTTTGACTTTCAGAAAGTCGCTTTGGAGAAGGATCCTAAGATTCTCCACCCTGTACCATTACGCCTTACCCCAGAAGTTGCCAATAATCAAATAATAGAAGACCAAACTGACGGTATCGATTTACATAGTCCGAAAAAATTCACAGAAAATTCATTAGCTTTAACTCAAAACCTTCAAAATCTAACTCTAAATGCACAAAATAGCGCTATTCAGCGTCCACAGCCCAAAAAGATAAATATTCCCGGACCCGGGGCAATCCCTCCTCCTCCCACCAATCAAAATAACGTAGAAGAAGGACCGGTAAGCCTTCCAGCTTTTCCACCACCCAAAAAAGAAAAACCTCCTCCACCCCCGCCCCGTCCTTTCAAGACCCACGGACGAAGTTCTTCTCTAGATCTGAATAGGCTTACCAAGCTTGGCGCACCACCTACTGTTCCTCCTAGAATCAGTCCCAACATTCAAGGACCTAAGAAACTTATCAACCAAAGATCTGAAGGTGATTCTGCTTCTCAAACAGAAACGTTCGCTAATTTTGACCAATTCGAGAAGTACGAAAACGTATCTGAAGGAATATTTCGTGGTGACGTTTACGAAGCTGAAAGAAAGAAACTGTTCGCCCAGTTTTCTATACCGGATGCCAGTGACGACGCACCCAGAAAACATGGCGCTTTCGAAATCTACAGGAAACCACAAGCAAAGGACAAAGAAAGCCCTGTCTCGGCCGAAGACAAGGCAAAATGGCAACTGTTTCAGCAACTTCAAGAAGAAAATACTGTTCTATTAAGGATCTGTCAAGAATTAAGCCAAGAATTGGCGGAATTAAGAGAGGAAAAGCTGAGTTTGAAAGTTAGGTTAGAAAAACAAATTAATGGCGGTTAAGAGATAGTAGTTGATATAGTTGTTTTAAATATATGCTATTTACACTTTTTTTAAATTGGACTTGGCTATGAAAGTTTGACACATTTCATTAAGTATAGTATTATTTTTATCGTTTTTGTCCATTTGATATTTCATTGTTATAATTTATTGCTACTTTGCCACGTCAACTTGTATGAAACATCTGGAAACTAAGGAAATGATCTTTTACAAACAATATTAATAAATGAAACGTTTGTCAAAATCAAAGAGATAATTGTTTTTGTTTTGGTTGCTGACACCCCGGTAATGCGCACTGTATGCAAGGATTATTATACCATCATAACAGGATAGATTAGTTTCATTTATCATACATGTTGAAAACAATAGACTCTATCAATACAGCAATTGTGCATGAGTGTTACGTCATCATAGAACCTAACTGGTTTAGGTTTATTGTTCGTTTTTTCTGTTTGAGACTAATACGTTTTATGTTGAATACTTGTATTTTTATTACATATATTCGAGATAAACTCGATTTATGTCTTGCTAGAAACATTATTTTAATTAATTTAATTGTTTTGAGTCGGAATGTCAGGATGAATCTGTGCTATTGCTACATGCAAAAACTATAAAAAGGTTTAAAAAAAATGATAAAGTGTTTAATTTTGATACACAGTATGTCCCAAAGATTTATTTATTATACAGAATACCATAAAAAGTTTAATATAAATTGAAAGTTGTTCATCCTTTAACAAATTATTCTCGATAAAAAGATTTGCATCACTAGGAAATCCGTAATCAAGAAGCAAATTTGTAAAATTCAAAAATATCAGTTGCACCTTTAGAATTGAATGGATATTTTTTATTGATTAAAGTAAATCGAAATCCCTTATAAACAAGTATGGGTATATTTTTTAATTCCTGTCAACATTTTCAATTAATATTTTGATTAATAGGAAGAAGATGACATTCCCTTACGCTTTCCTTGTTTTACTACCCAGTAATTAATCTGTCGTTTATATCACCGATTTAAAAATTTGAAAAATTTATATAGAAAGAAAATACATTATTTTAAAACGTTTGAAAATTCCGAATTGTCAAATACTTAAACAAACATCCTAGGAAAACATTAGGCATAAGCGATATTTGAAAACGAAATTTTAAGTTTTTTTATAATCCATTTAAAAAACAAAGACGTGAATGTATATATACAGGATTTGTATTTGAAAACACTTTTCTTGTTAAATAATAGAACAGCGTTTAAGAATTATTGTAATAAATAGGAATATTTAGCCCATTTAAATTGCATGGTGGAATGGCATTTACGCTTGTCAATTTTAATTTATCGAAAGGGCGTAAGCGACATTATATGTTTTAGCGAAATTATTAAAGACATATTTGTGTTTAATAAAATTCAATATAAAATTTAGATTCTATATGTGCAATTGTATATTTTACAATCAAAATATCTAACTGACCTTAAAATCATTGCTACTTTTCAATCTCCGGAAATAAAATACTTGTTCTCTTAACCTTGAAACGAGATTTAGGCGGGAACGTTTTTCGCTTACAATATTTAAAACCTAAATATTTTGCGAACGGGAATTTTTATCAGTTAATTCTTTTTTGTGGTATCGATGTGGCATATTTTCAGGTTAAAATTCACTTAAATATCTCAATTTGGCTAATTTTGTCGCTTACGCCCTTTTTGCCACAAATCTACCGTTTGGCAATTGTGCTCTTTACAAACGGCTTTTAAAATTAGGCTCTCTTGTTTAATAGCAAAGCTTTTTTTGGTCCTTTCACGAACTAATTCAGAATGAGTAAATTACACTCATCAGCTCAATAGGTTGTTATAAACTCATCAGCTCAATAGGTTGTTATAAACTCGCGACGTGTTCCTGAAAAATGAATTTGTCAACTGTATTTGAAAACTGGAATCGACGGTTCTGTTTGAACCAAAACAAACCCACTGTATCGTAGGCATTAATGACAAGAATTAAATCTGGAATTGCGCAAAAGTTCGAGGAAATTTTCCAGTGGCGGCTAATTTAATTTTTTACCATGCCGTTTTTCGGATCCCACTATGGTCGGTATTTTTTTTAATTAACATGCCTAATTAAAAATTAATTTTTATGCCCTGGTCGTATTCCCCATTCGGCCATTTACTGTGAGGTTAAAAGTATAGAATAACTTCTTAATATACAGTGTTGACGATATTTAAATTTCATAGCCAAGACTTATTAAAAAGAGTGTAAATGGAGTATATGTTGATCATGAATTGGTAACTATTTCCCCCTTTTTTTTAATTCGTGAGAGTTTTCTAAAATAAGGTAGGTAAGTGAGTGAGAGTTATTTCAAGTAACAAAGAAACCTTTTGACGTGTTTTACGTTACGCCCCCTAAGTATTTTTCTGCCTTTTAGAAAACTCGTCTATTATTTTAAGTACGTGCCGATTCATCGTCAACATGTCAGTTTTATACCCCCTTCGTACGGCGAAATTTAATTGAGGCACATAAGGAATCAGGGGGTATTTGTGACATTTATGCCAAATCTGAGTAGGTGTAAATAAGTTAAAAATACGTAAGTGAAGATGTTATTCATAGATATAATATTATCTAAGTTATTAAGTAAGGATGTCCAGTTTTCTAAATTATCATAACAAAACTATTAGAACAATTTTGAGGTTTTTTATAAAGACTAATTAACTGATTGTTTAAAATTTGATTCTGATGATAAGACATCAGTTTATGGAAGCTCTGTTTATTTTGTAGCTTCTCCAGTTGTGAAATAATTTTTTAATATTTTTTCTCTAATATTAAATAATTCTAGCTAGCAAGAGTAGCTTTAGTAAAATAATCATATTTTGAGAAATAAAAGACACTTGCATTTTAAGACACCTTTATTTGAATCTTCACTAAATAATTATCTAATGCACTTGAGAAACACTTGTAGAAAGTACGTAACAAGAATTTAAAAATATAATTGGTCAAAATGTTTATTTAAGTAGCTTTCAAACTACTTATATTACTTTTATTTAAAGAAATATTGTGATTTTCATAAGACTGAAGGTATTTACTAATTTTGTAAAAATACTGGTAAAGAAAATTTGTTTAATTTTTATTGTATAACACTATTCTTGTGAACATGTTATCAGGTGTCTCATGAACAACATTTTTACTTATATCCTTTTACTGCTAAACAGTTGAAGCACTTTACCTAATAACCAATTAATTTTTTAATAAAAAATCAATTAAAAATGTCACTTATACTTGCCGACTTTATGCTTTAGTTCAATAATCATTATTTATACATTATCCTCTTTCTAGATATATCAAGTTTTATTGAGAGTAATTTAATTTAAATCGAAATATTGTATTTTTTGAAAGTCTATAAAAGTTATATTTAAAAATAAAAATTAATTAACGAATAAAATTCATTTTAAATGTGATTTATTTTTTTTTATTTCCTCAAAATTGCCTTTCAGTTCTTTATTTCCAAAGGTTTAAACCAAATCGCAGGAAGCAAAAAGAATGCCACTGGATTTTTAGGAGGAGGCGGATCTAAAATATATAGAAAAAACCCTCCGAACATATACAGTACGTTAACTTTCTAATACTGAATTCAGGAGAAAGGTATAGATAAACAATGGTATTTAATAGACGGAGATAAAACAATATATGCTATCCTTCTGCCGGTAAACCATGCGTCCAACCATGGATCGTTACTCTCTAGGCATCTCACGAGCAATCTGTATCTGTAACGTGTGGAGGGTGGGTCATCCACGGCACTTAGGCCTCATTAGGCCCATTGTGCATCCGCCTAAGATGATAGGCACCTCCTAGCTCGTGAGCCAGCCTACAGATTTGATGTAGTTGACAATGTCCCCAAGAGGTGCTTCTCTTATACCGGCCGATACTCGCCGAACACAAATCTTCTAATAAATGAGTGTCGAGCAATCGTAGAGGATATGCTCGATGGTCTCATCTTGTTCGCACCCTCTGCAGAGTAAAGATTCTGACAGCCCCATGATATGGAGATGCTTCATTCGTTCTTGGCAATGACCAGTCGGAATGCCTGTGACTAGGCGCAGGTTCTGTCTAGCCATAGTCAAGTATTTGTTTGCTGCAGTGTTATCAGGACCACTTAAAAACTTCCTGGCAACTCTGCAGTTTCTTGTTTCATCCCATCTTTCCTTGAATTTCACAGGGGAATGTTCTTTAATTAGGTCTGTCACTACCGATTTTGTCAGACCAATAGAAGGGCCAGGTCCAAAAAGTATTTGGTTGGCTGCTTTCTTGGCCAGTGAATCAGCAAGACGGTTACCTTTCGATGTGGCGTGACCTTTGATCCATCTTAAGATGACCACGTTGTTGATGGATATTTCGGCCAAAACTTCGTGACGTTCTAGTAATAACCCTGAATAAATTCGAGGTCTGTTCAGGGCGAGTAGTGCTTGTCTGCTATCCGTATAGATGAGCATGTTCCTTCCAGTGATATTGTTTCTGGTGATTTATTTTGCTGCTATGAGAATCCCGTTAGCTCTGTTTGAACTACACTGGCAATATTGCTAACAGCCCATTTTATGTTAAGGTTTAAGGACCTGGAGTATATTCCACATCCTGAGCCTTATTTTGTTTTAGAACCGTCAGTGTAGATATAAATCGTACCTGCCACTTCCGGCTCTTTTATTTGTTCTGTTACAACTTTATATGGCTTATGGAAGATATATCTCGGTGAGATGGAGTCCATGTTCGCTTGAAGCAGTGGGAGCGAATCGAGCGCCTCCTGTCAAAAGCCACGTCTCGCCTCACCAGATCCTACATCAGGTTCTATTCCAACCGTGCGGAGGCGTGTCATTGTCGTCAGAGCAACCTCCTTGATGTAAATATCAAGAGGAGTGAGACTAAGAATGACTTCCATGGCTCTGGTCGGTGTTGTTTTCATGGCTCCTGTTATGTTGAGACATGCTGTTCTTTGAATTTGTTCTAGTTTACGAAGAGCTGTTAATTTTTGGGTTTTTGGTACCCAGACAACTGCATCGTATGTTAGCATAGGTCTTATGATAGCCGTGTGAGACCTAAGTACTTCACCTCTGTTGCAAAGTTTAGTTTTGTGTTTAGGAGTTCTGGAGGTTTTAATTCCATTTTCATCCTTTTCCTTGTGAGAAGGACCATTTCAGTCTTCTTAGGATTGATAGACAGTGAATGGTCCTTACACCACTGTTCTATAATTTTGAGAGCTACTTGCATTCTTTCGCAGAGTATGTTCTCAAAATTCCCTGTTTGTAGAATGACCAGGTCATCTACATATGATATTGTGCAGTGACTGTCATTATTGAGGCGGCTGATGGGGGTGTCGAGGACCATGTTTCACCCCTCCCTGTGGACACCCCCTCGCAACCAAAGCCTCTTATATTCACATGTTATGTATCCACCCACTAACCATCTGTAAAACATTCCTGTTGGTTAGTGAGTGTATTATCTTGGAAAAGGTGGTTTTATCAAAAGCACATTCATCCTAGAACACTCTTCGGTTAACTATGTTTGCAGGGTGCAGTGTGCGTTATTTTATACCGGAACTTATGATAAACAATGCACTTGTTTAGTTAGTGCATTTTCTTTAGAAACAAAGACATATTGGATAATGAAGCGCCGATACCCTAAACCTGTACGTTAGGTACTAGTTCCGAAAAGTATACGTTTGTCAACTTGCAGAAAGAAACAAATCGAAAACCAAGACAAAAGGAGTAAATAGAAAATTCGATTGTAAGGCAAATATAAATATCTATTAAGTTTTAAAAATAACAGATCAGATGTTCTTACCAGAGGTAATACTACTAATAATTATGGCAAATCATTAGTACATTGAACATTGTACTTCAACGGTGTAAAGTCTTCAATATGTGCGCTTTAGTAGAATTTATCACAAAAACATTTGAATCTTATCACAAGAAGAGTGTGACGAATAAGGCACTAAATTTTGCTCTCAATTAATTTAAAAATGTATATTTCAATTAATTCCCACCTGAGGACATGTTTCCCAGGAATTACCGTTTTTCAACAATTGCGAGTACCCTCGTAGGTTAAAATATTCCTATATTTGCCGAAATCCGAATGGGCATTTTGTAGAGTCGATTTCGTACCAATTATCTACTTTTATTTGTCAAGGTACTAGAAGAACATTTTTTTATTTTTAAATTGTAAACAGTCGGCTGTAGTGGTGGTATTCCCCACTCCAGTTTACCGGTCTTCAAGCTTGCCCAGCGAAAAAGGATAAATTCAATAACAACTGAGAATTACCCTCTCTTGATTTCCGGCAGCCGTAAACTCTTCTCTCTCCTGCAGTGTCGAGTGAAATACTCTGTGAGTGACCGTGATATCGAAAGAATATTCAACCCAGTTTATTTTTCTAAGGTAGGAAACCGCATATTATTTTTTTATAATTAGTTGGGACACCCGTGCGAAAAGTGAAAATTTTTGATTCATATCAAGGATATTTCATTTCATCCCTCAGTGGGAAACCGTTGGCAATTTTTTATTTGAGGCTGGATATAGGCTAGACTCTGAGTGCTCTCATTTTCGACGACTATATCCAATCTCTCTTAGGAAGCGCCCAGTTAACATAGAAGTGAGAGGTTTAACCCGTTTTCAATTTTTTTTGTTTATTACTTTTGGAAAAACCGGCCCGTTATTTTCTTTTTTGGAGATTCGATCCGTCCCCGGATTAAGAGTGATCTCTGTCCTGACGGCGTTATCTAATTTCCCAAAAGATGTCTAAATTAATTTTCGCGCCTTACTTCATGTAAGTTTCTTTTCTTTTATTTATTCATTCAGTTGTATTTGAATCATTCCGTTCCCAGTCCACAACTAATTATTGAACGAAGCCCGAAGTTTTCTGTAAAATTAATTCACACACCGTCTTGATCG